TAGGGAAGAACAGGTGTCCTGAGAACAGAACCCAGTCAGTGGGTGTTGCGTGCAGGCAGACTGGGAGAGTTTCCTTTTGTTGGATGCTGGGTAACAGTTTTAAGACATTAATAAGCAGGTGCTCATTAAAATCCATACCTGCAGAGGAAATATAGGGCTGAATCGGACCAGAGTGGTCATCCATACCTCTCATCTTACCAGCCCTCCCCAGTTAATGACCTTGGCCCCCACTCTCAACACCACCAGCCCTTGGTTCTCCTTATAGACTCCAGAGAGGCGATGCTAGCAGCCTGCCTGCCGCCTCTGCTCTGTGAACCTAAACGGCACTCTGCTGCTACATAGGACCCCATCCAGAACCTTATGACAATGGACTAACACTGGGTAGGGAATAATAGCAGCCACCCAGTATCCTCTGAAGGGAAACGTTCTGCCATGGGAGAATATGAACTTCCCATCAGACGCAGCATTCAAAGTCAGGCTGGGTGGGCACCGGACAGTCCTCCTAGGACACAACTGTGTCTGGATGTCTCCTGTCGGGATGTGCCAGTGGAAACCACCCAGTGTTCTCGGCAAGAAAACCTTTGAGAGTCCAGACTACAATATGGTCTTCATATTCTGAAATGGGGTTTCCCATCAGATGACGAACCACACAAGAATCCACCCGCTCTTCCAGACGCCAGGCAGTCCAGAGAAACAGACAAGTAAACTTCCTGTTTTGATAGAACAATTCATAACCATAACATCCATAACAATAGCAGCAACGCATTCTGAAACACATTTGTTGCATTACAGGCATCAAAAGAGTATTTTGAGCTTTTCAAAGCACTTTGAAGTACATTATTGCATTTGCTCCCCAGGCCTGTATCTCAGGAAGGATGGTGAATGATTACTGAGCAAAATGATGAATGAAGAAAATAAATAAATGGGGCATCTCAAGAGAATAGCAGGAAAGAAAGAGAATTAAATTGCTTTCATCAGTACTAAGAAGTCCCTTTGATTCTAAAATCCAGGTGCAATCAGGTAGCTCTCAAAGACGATGAAGAGGTAATCTGCTGGTGTCTCCTGAGCTACAGATTTACATACACCATCACCTGCTGTGCATCCTCACGTCAGACACAGCATCTTCAAACCCTATCTCACTCCCTTGCCTCTAAACCATCTTCTGTATTGTCCATCTCAGGAAACAGTTCTGCCATTCATCCCCCAGATATCCAAACCAGAAGCCTGGGAGTGTCCTCTTGGGCTCTCTTCTCTCACCCCCAGATGCCCAGATTCCTAGCTGATAGGATAGGAATCTGTTCCTATCTGATAGGAATCTGTTCAGGCTCTGACTTGGCTAAGAGTCATGATCTGAACTCCGGACTACTAGGCTGGGAGGTACTCGGTAGTCAAACTCTTGACACACTGCACCTGCTCCCAGTGCCCCAAGGATCTACCTGGTTAGTGACCTGTCAGACCTGACAAAACCAGAACACATCCCCACCCGCCTGGTCCCCTGAGCTACAACTGAGTTTGTAGCTTCCTGCCTGGAGTCTCTACCTACTTCCAGCATGTCTTTGCTAGGCCGGCCTCTGCCATCAGTGCCTAGCAGAGTCTGACACATGCCAAGGATTCACATGACACATGAGAAGGACTGGAGCTGCAGTGAGTAGCAGCTATTCATTCTCAGCTGGCCTCCAGAGCCACCAGTCTCCCTACCACCCAATCCCGCCTTCAAGAGGACACGTGCTGAGGAAAGTCCCTCAAACCATGTGAGGAGTTCCTTAGGCCAAGGGATTCAGTTCTAAGCATTTAAGTAATTTGTGATCTTGGTCTGATGGTTCTGAACCTTAGTTTTCCTCCCATCTGTGTCTCAGAATTGCCCCAAGGATCAAGAAACATAATGGGCATACTATCAATGTGGCATGTTGGTGCGGCACTGGGTGTCAGTGGTGTGACAGTGGGGTGTGGTGGCTTCAATGTGGGTGTGCATCAGCATCCTTCAAAGGGCTGCTCAAAACAGAGATTTCTGGGTTCCAGTTCCAGATTTTCTGAATCCTTAGGACAAGGGGTGGGGCCTGTGAGCTTGCATTTCTTACCAGTTCCCAGGTGATGCTGATGCTGCAGGTCTAGGGACCACATTTTGAGAACCAGTGCCCTGGATCATTCCAACAGCATTGCTCTTCCCATGCCCACCTTGTTTTTCTCCCTGAAGCGTGCTATTTCAATACTTGACTTCATTTGTTTTACCCTTTTTGCTGCTTTGCTGGAATATTAACCCAGCCTGTAAATTCCTCTGGGCAGAAATTATACCTTCCACACTCCACACTTGCTCATTTTCTGTTTTGTAAAATAATGAGTACATTCTAGCACGATTAATAATAGAATAAGGGAAGGGGGGAAACCGTGAACCACCCAGCCCAACAAACAGCACCCACAAATGGCTATCAGCCCTGGAATTCTCTTAAAAAGTAATTATAAGGCCAAAGACACTCTCCCATCAGGGGCAATGAGGCAAATAAGATTATCTTCTTGACGACACATTTTGTAGAATGTGGGTTATTCAAGATTTTAACGGTAACTTAAACACCAACATTTTTTGAAATATAAAACCACAAACAGCATTTCAACTCATAATTTTTATAGCGATAGTCAGACAATTGTGTTTTCGGCATGTAAAATCCATTACACAGTCACAGCAATAGTTTGCAATAGATGGTAAATTTTTATTGAGATGATCATCTTGTGATTGAATTTCAAAATGTATTATACGATCACCAGCAAATAAGTCCAGGGGGGGCTGCTAAAGTACTTTGAATATCATTTATAAAGATCAAAAACCCTGGAAATCCTGAGATTTACCCTCTGAAAGCACAGAAGTCTCGTCGGCAGGATTAAATCAATTATTTTTATGGATGAATATTGAATTGCAAAGCTGAGATCGTGTCTTACCTGGTTTAATAACAAAATCCTATGTCCTTTTAACATAGTAAGTTTCATAATCAGGTTTCAATGAGGAATTTTACCAAAGGCCCACTTTTGAAAGTGATCGAGAAAATGGCATTTCCATTTGTCATAGAGGTTCAGTGACATTCAAAGGAATGTTCCCAGGCAATGGAGATGCTCACTAACCTCAGGTTACCTACTGCCAGGATGCACTTCCGAGATACTCAGCAATGGTTTCAGTCAATTCTGCTGTTAACACTTGTTGTGACCGAGAATGTGTTCCAACACAACTGCTAAATTAGGGAAGAGCTGGAGCATAACAATAATTCACATTTGCTGTGTGTGACTTTGTGCACAGAAACATTATAGCAGCAGAAAACTGCACCCAACTGAACTGAGCCACATAGGGAAACACCAGTCGCACCTGATCTCAAACATCTTCCTGCTCCCTCAGTTCACCGCGTGAGCTATGAGTCACAAGCTGCATCCATCCACAGCTGGTGTGTCACGCTGCTCCCCCACTTTCCGATAGCCTTTCTTCTCTACCTCAAGAAGCTCACAGGCTGGAACCTTTCTGACCACCACTTCCAAGCAAACTTCAGGTCTTTGCAAGGTAATTCACCACAGTATACTGCAGTTTTAACATCTATCTTAGCCATTAGCATATGTAAAATTGAGCCACCATTTGTACTAGGTTCCTCTTTTTTCAATGTGTCACTGATGAAGTTTGAGTGTTGTGCCCCAACCCTACTTTTTCCCACAACCCTGATGATTTTTACTGCATAATATTGCACACTGCAGTGGTTATTAGGGACATACATATGGCAGAACTAACTACATTTTACTTTGCTTTCTGTTCCATGGAAGTCACTGTACTAACGGACCCTTCTCGCACACTACGAATTGTCAGTGACTCCTTTGCCCTTGGAAGCCCTTGTCTCCTGCTGCACTTCCCTGGTGCCCCAGTGGAGTACCTCCAGCTCTCTCTACCATGATGATGGCACACACCTCTTTCCATTCATTCATCAGGATGTGACCAATGAGCAATGGCTTTTGAGTCAGAAAAACCTGGATACAAAGCCTGCCTGGCCAGTTCTATGACTTCAGACAAAAAGTTTAAAATATTGAGTCTCTTTTTCTTCATGTATATCAGACATAAAAGTACTTACACTGAACGGTAACTTTGGGAAGAACAATGATAATATAAATAACATGACTTGCAAAATAACAAATAAATAAACACTGAGTTTTTTAAATTTCTTGAGCTGCATTCAGAGCGGAAACATCTCAGGTCAACAGTTAGAGGTACAATCCCAGCCAATGCCCTTATTAGAAACACCACAGAAGCCTAGAGTCCCCCAGGAATATGGAATCCAGGGGACCCTTGTGGAGATAGTCCCAACCCAGACTCTTTGATAGGAGCCAGGCCCTCAAGGGCTACAGGGCCAGGAAGCCAGGGATTAAGGCAGCTCCAGAATCCACTGAGAGGCCCTTTCAGAGCCAGGAGGCACTCAAGATGTAGTTGGAACCAGGAGCACTCTGGGAAATTGTCAAAACTAAGAGCTCTTTAGGGTTACAGGCCCAGCCCAGGGATCCTCAGGGTTCTGAGGATCTGAGTCAAATCAGAACCACCTGAGATACCCAACGGGCACCAGCAGAACTCAGAGACAGAACTAAAAGGAGGCCTTCAGGGCACACAGTCAGAGCCAGGAGCCCCCAGGGAACCCCTGGAGCCTAGAGCCCTCACAGACACAGAGCCAGCAGCCCCCAGGGACACTGGTAGCACTGGGAAGCCTCAGACACACAAGTGGCACCAAGAGCCTTGGAAAGACAGAACCAGGGTCCCCTGGATACACTCAGAGCCAGGAACCTCTCCGTGACACAGGCGAGCAATTCCACAAACCACACTTGGAGCCAGGAGGTCCTCCAAGGCAAGACCAAAACCCTGTTTTTTCCCACAACCAGAAGCACACTCATGTGGAAGTTGTTTAGGCATGACTGCCGCAAAATGCCAGGACAGAACCGCCCCCAGCAGCCACCCGCCTCCCCACAGGGGGCCGGAGGGGGGCTCTTACCTGCACACTTGGTTCTGGTGGTGAGGGGGGGCCCTGGGGGCCCCGTGCCCCCTTCTCCCGGTCGTGTGAGTAGCACCCGGATCTCGTACTCCACGTCAGGGTCCAGATGCCACAGCTTATAGTTGGGAGAGTCGACTATGTGGGTCTCAGCCCAGGTGCCCGTGGTGGTGCGATATTCCACCTCCTTCAGGATGATGGGGCCATCCCCAATGATAGAGTTGGCATTTGGCTTGATCCACAGGTATGTGGCCCCCACGGCCAGCAGCTCTGGGGGGGCGATGGGTGTAGGAGGCTCTGAAAGACAAGCAATCAGCAAAGGATGTCAGATCCCATGATTTCCAGGACAGATTCCAAGCATGTGAAGACAAGGGACAGAACTGCAGACAGAGCCCAAATCTGCTTCTTAATCCCCTTCACATCCTATGGTATTTTCATGTTTCTGTATGTAAACGCCTGAGTCAGTATTGCTTCCACCACACCACTGAATCTTCATTCAGCGAAAAGAAAAGAAAGAAGGCAATCGTGAGAGGCATGGACTTTTCCGGAGCATGGCAGAGCTGGCTGTGTTCATCTTCTACTTTCTATCCTCACGTGAGAACCTGTCTTTACTGAAGTGGAGTTTGGTTCAAACCCCAAGGGATCCTGGGGTTTACAAACATGTCTTTATAGGAATACGGACTGTTAGTGGAAGTTCCCCTGAAATCTGGTATGAGTCTAAATAGCAAAAGGATGAGGCACAGCAAAGATTCAGCTTCTTCCTCAACAGAGCAGGTTCCTTCCAGCAAGGGAGGTGTCATTGGCCCCCGTACCCCACGTGGGAATCAAGGATCAAGGGAGAAGTCACGTGTAGTTATCGTGTATCAGCTATGGGTTGCCATTTCTCTTCCATTAGGTTCTATAACTTCAGCTAAATAAGCTAGAATTTCAACAAACATTTATCATTGCCACTTGCTGGCTATCTTTAGCCCACTGGCAAAGCCACAGGACTTAACTTTTATTTTGCAGTTCTTATTGACCAGGAAATCTCACATGCATTACTTTGCGTAAATCTTGAGACATTATCACCTTCAATGTTGAAAGATAAGAAAACTGAGAACCCAAAGGAACAGGTCACCTAACCAAGATCATGAAGCAGGTAAGGCAGGACAGGACCCACATCTGTCTGCCTTCCCAGACCAGGTCTCCCCATGGAAGGCTGTTTGCTTCCTGATACCCGTTTTCTTAAAACAAATCAAAGTGGATGTATTTGTTATTTTTATTTGTAGGAAAAATAGTAGTGTGACAACAATAAAGAAAATGAGAAAACATACCTGCCTCCCTGCCTCCCAATAAAACAGCCATTTTCATTTCTCCACACTCCATTCTGATTTCAATCCATATATTTAAATCTTTTCATGTGGTTATAGCAACACGTATACCCAATGTAGAGTTGTTTTTCTTTTCTCATGTATTATATCCTAAGGATATACTGTGTGGATTTTATCATCACTGTATTTAATAGCTACCAAACAATCCATCATGTAGTCACACTACCTATTCTTCAGTTGCTGGGCACGGGAGTTGTTCCAAGCTCTGCAATGGTAAATAATACTGCAGTGAACATCTTTGAGCAAATGACTCCAGTCCTTCCTGTCTCCTATTTTCTTAGGACCAACTATCAGGAATGAGATTGTCTGTCAAGGGATATGAACAAGTTAATCATTCCTGGAGCAGAATTAGGAAGTGGAGGATGGGGAGGTACTTAGGGGTACAGTACAATGAAGATATGTTCAAGAACTATTGGAGGGCCTGTGGGTTATTCAGGTGCATAGGCAGATAGGAATTTCAGTGTGGAACTCAGGGAAGAGCTTTGGGACAGGCAAGACTCATTCAGTGTTTTCTTCCTAATTAATTACCTAGCAACACAGATTCTCAGCAACAGTATAACTGCTATGAAACAGAGGTGGAAAATATTTTCTCCGTGTGGCTTGAGGCAAATCTTAAGGGACAACTTCAGATTGCCTCTATTAATGCCTGCCATTTGGTCAGAGAAAGAAGTTAAGCAGATTAGTCAAGCTAGAAGCTTCTCTTTACAAAGCCATGGAGGCTATTACTCAAGGCCTTGTTATCACAAAGGTGTTTGCAAATTGATTTTTGGATAATTTGTTCCAGGTAGAGAAGTTAAGTTGGCAGGCAGATCATTTCCGGGCTCATCCTTTGTGCATTTTAAGTATATAGACCCTTTAATCACCATTATCAACTCTCCAGAATTCCCATCAGTCTCCTGTGAGGCCCCAAGAGTGACATTTTGTAGCTCTGTGATGACTCTGCCCAATTCCTTAATATAATTATTCACAGACTGGCCCTGGACAGAATTAAGAGCAGCAGACCTCAGTTCTTTGGGGCATATGCAAGTGACCACATTAAGCTCTCTTCCACGGACTTTCCACCATGGTTCTGCCCTCCTATTTCAGGCAGTAGCAGTAAATTGCTGATTATCAGGAAGAAAATAAAGAATTAATCTCTCCTAAATGTTTAGTTTCTTTTTACATATTTCTAAATGGAAGTGCAAGTACAGTAACAAACATTCCCTTGAGTATATACATGTCTACATCTTAAATGACTTACTAGTTCACATGTCCATGTGCAGATTGGCCAAGGTATTCTCTCCCTCTATTCCTTCAAGAACATATCATGACATGCATGCATTATAGTGTCTCCTATACCCGGCATCAACCAGCCAGAACAAGTCAGATTATTGTTTTGTTTTTTCTTTTTTTAGTAATCCATTGATTCATGATTGATGTTCCTTAGAAGGCACATGGACAGATGGTTCAAAGAGACGGAGCAGGGATAAGACACACAATTATTATTATTTCTTTTGGCAGACACCACCTTTTTAAAAAAATGCACAGAAAAACCATGTTTATTTGTATCAGTCCTCCTCTCTGAGATGAACTGTTCAACCAGACTGTGCAAGAACTTTTAGGAGGCCATGTATTTCAACCACCAGCATCATCAGAAAGGAAACTGAGGCCCAGGGAGGGTACATCACCTGTTAAAGTAGAAAGATGTTAAGCTAGAAGCATTAGAAGTTAGGACCCAGGTAGTATTCTTGCCACTCCCTTGTCCTCTTGTATTTGAGATGCTTAAGTAATTAACTAGAAGGATCATTAAAGGAAGTCTATCCCTGTAGTTTTTAACTTTAAAGGATATATAGGCCATTAAAAACATCTGGTGAGAAATTCTAGACTCTCTTCCCAGAAAAAGACATATCATCTAGAGTTTTGCACACCATTTCAGGAACTCATGAACCCTTCTGAAGCCCATGCACATTTCCCTGAAGGAGCTAGGAGTACAATGATGTAAGGGAATGGAACTCAATGTGGGGGTCACAGAGCCAGTAATTCCAGGCTTCCAGGTTCCCACACATTTGGGTGAAAATAAACATGCTACGATCTGCACAGAACAATGCCAAGGAAATGTCTAGGTTCCTGTGACCATGACCTCCCCAACACATTCATAAACTTAACATTTGGGTTTTAAATATCCTTAAACTATATAAGAGAGAAAAACATGACCCTGCCTAAGAACTGTTATATCCTAAGTAGAAATCTTCCACAGAGGCTGTCCTAGGAGCGTGGGTTACTATAACAATGTGCCACTAACTGGGTAGCTTCAATAACATTTATTTTTCACAGCTCTGGAGGCTGCAAAGTCCAAGATCCCAGTGGCAGCCCGTCCAGTAGCTGGTGAGAATTCTCGTCTTGCTCTGCAGAACTCAGTGTGTCCTCAGGTGATGGGCAGAGAGAGGCCTCTGGTCTCTTCCTCTTCTTACAAGGGTGCTAATCCCATCATGGGAAGTCACATCACCTCATCTAAACCTAATCACCCCCCGCCAGAGGCCCCAGCTCCCAATACCATCACACTGGAGGTCAGGGCTTCAACATATGAATCGGGGGGGAAACAAACATTCAGGCCATAGCAGAGACCACGTTTTTGAATCCATCTTTCTCTTCATGAAGGACTCTAACTGCGGGGATGTTGAGATGAACAACCGGACAGGAAGACATCCCTGTGAAAGGGACCCCAAGGAGTGTACGCTTTGCTCCCATGTGTGCACAGGGTGCTGAGTGGGGAACTTCAGTGATGAAGAAGGGAACGCGGGCTCTCCGCACCCATGGGATCAGAGGGTGAGGCCGTCCGTGAAAGTAGTGGTGACAGGGAAGTGGAATGAGGGCCACGAGGGGGGTGACTTTGTAGGCAGTTTAGAGGCCTGTGAAGGGACCTAAACTAGTCTAGAGGTTAGAGAAGCTCTTGCAGAGAGAACTTGAGCATGATCTGAGGGTCGAGGAATTGCATGTTAAGTCTGTGAGCAAAGAGAGAATATTCTGGGGGGCCAGTAGCTCTGCATTGCTTGGGAAGGCACCACATAGGGACCAGACTGGCAAATAGTCAAAACCATGTGCTCTGAATATTCATTCATTCACACATTCCACAGACACTGAGTACCTGTTATGTATCACATGCTGTCCTACGTGCTGAGGATACAGTGGTAAATGGAACAGACACAAGCCTGGCTGCCAGGATTCTAGCTTTCATTCAAGGGCTGAGAAAAGGAACAGGAGAGAAAGAAGCTGATTCAGAAGCTGATGAAGAGGAGAAAATTGGGGGACGAGCCAGGCTGAGGTGAGTGCTTATGGACCAACACCTGATGCACATCCATACAACAGAATATTGCACAGCAAGGAAAAATGCACAGAGGCATGCAGTATGGTCAAATTTCAGGGGAAAAAAATTATGTAGTGCAAAACAAAGAAAAGGGAAGCATACATGATGATTCCATTTATATGAAAAGTTCAAGAACAGGCAGAATTGACCTATGGTGATAAAAGTCAGAATTACAGTTAGCTATGGGAGCTGGCACTGGCTGGGATGAGGCATGAGACAACCTACTGGAGTGTTAGAATGTACTACCTATGGATCTGGGGGATTAAATAATCAAAGTCAGAATTGTGTGACATCTAGTGGGATGACTGCCTAGAAGGGGCATAAGAAAAGTTTCTAAGGTGACAAAAATTCCTGTGTCTTGGTTAGAGTTATGTAAGACTCATCAAACTGCACACTTAAAATATAGGTATTTTGCTGTATATAAATGAGACCTTAAAAAAGATGACTCAGGAAAACAAAACAAAATGTTAAAAAAACATGTCTTTTCTATGATTCAGCAGATAGGCAGATAGGAAGGATACCACCAAAGGATTCCAACCTTACTTGGAATCGAACCCAATATTTGGAAGAACAAGCCTTTAATC